TTCAGTAGTTGTTGTACCAACATCATGGCTCCTTGAAAACAAAACCAAGACACATTGGCCAATGTTTTCTACTGGGAAAGCTACACAGAGAGTAAGACTGATTATGGGATTAGCTGAACCAGTTACAGATACATGGCCAATTCAAGCTAACAAGTTTTGCCATAGTTACAGTAAGTACTTTTGTTTACTGATCAATTATTTTGTATTGTTGTATATTTCCAAAATTAAATTTTAAAATCAGGTCACTTCTTTTAGAAACATGGACTCTGGCTCAGGATGCAGCTAAATTACAAACCAAACAAGAGGAGACGGTATCAAGTGCGGCTTCAGGTGGGAGAGGAAAGAGGCCTAAGTTTAGGTCAACTCGTCTTGTGTGACACTGCTACACATAAACAAGTTATAAAAATGAAGTCAGGGAACCTTTCCACATTTTCTCCTAAAGCAGATGTTGACAAATCTCTTGATAGGGACAAGATCAATAAATTATCTGAAACTGATTTAGAGAGGTATTTTGTTCTTTGAATGGTGGTTTGATCTTTTTAATCTTGTCAAACAGGCCCTTGAAAGTCAAAAATTAATGAGATTGGGACCATCAAAACCCCCATCAGAGACAGTATACAAAAACCCAAGGAAACTACTATCACTGTAAATAAGAAAACTATTGGTACTGTTCCAACTCAAAGTAAAGGTTTGTGTATTATTCTAATCATCCTTCTAGTCATTTTACTCTAAATTAGGTATATCTGAATTAATGATGAGGGTATTTTGTTCTTTGAATACTGGTTTAACCATTTTAACCTTGTCAAACAGGCACTTTGGAGTCAGAAATTCATGAGAATGGGAGTATTGATACCCTCAAGAGGCACAATATGTCTGGTGGTACTTCCTTGACTGATAAATCCAGCCCTAGCAGTCTCTGATACCTCACCGCTTCTCGACAAAGGCTCTACCCCCAAGAGTAGCCCATCCCACCCCAAAAACGTTTTCGAGGTACGGAGCCTAAATGGTAGTTTTGACCTAAAAATGACCCTGTGCAAAGTCCGGGCCCTGTGCGACAACGTTTACCCGGATCGCATTGCGATTTTCGTTTTGGCCCAAAGTTGGCGCCAAACAGGTAGACCATCTTGTAGGCGCTGCACTGCGCGCAAGGTGGGGCCAGGGCGAACGACTCGGGCTGAAAGTGTTACCCCATGGGTCCTACTTTGTATCAGATATAAAGGATCCGAGCTCCCGACAGACGCGGCATATCCAGGGGCCTAAACGTGCGCCCAACGTCACTCGCCATTTACAGAAAATAATGCCGACGTAGCCCTAACCTTTTATTACATGAAAACCGAGGGCACACTGAGACCTTTCAGAATCAGTAATGTCTGCGGGGTAGCGGTGACGCGTTCAATAGAAGAGGCAAAAAAGGCCAAAACGCCTGTGTACTAGGCTACTGTGCACTACAGGCTAAGTGACGTCACCACAGGCGCAAATACATGTTTTTCAAACTTTCTCTAGTAAAAGCGTCACCGCTACCCCGCAGACATTACTGATTCTGAAAGGTCTAAGTGTGCCCTCGGTTTTTATGTAATAAAAAGTTAGGGCTACGTCGGCATTATTTTTTGTAAATGGCGAGTGACGTCGGGCGTCGGGCGCACATTTCTGTGGCATTCCATAGAAGTGACGTAAGTCTGACTTACGTCACTATCTGAGTTAAACATTGTACATCATTCTACAACTCACACAGGACATGCACATGTTTTCAGATTGAAAATCGGGACCATAGAAACTCCACAACTTAGTAGAACATTCTGAAGTAAGTCAATAAAAGGCAGATGCTGATCAGTAAAAGTGACGCAAGTCAGACTTGCGTCACTTTAGTAGAACAGTTCTTTGCAACATGTGACGTAAGTCAATGAAATAGGACCAAATGTATTGTTTGGTATCAAAACAGTTTTGCTATTGGTAGACAATCTTATGGGTCACTCATTACAGTGAGAAATTTGGTTGGTTCTGAAAAATC